TTGCTCGGACATTAATGGCTTGGCATTCGTGGCAGGGCGTCCATTTTTGTCTGCTTATCCCGTGCCTGGCCTGTGCGAGTGCGCGTTCGAGGCCGCGGCGGTAGTGGGCGGTCGCGGGCGGGCGCGGGCTGGCGCGGGCGGGCGCGGGCGGGCGCGGGCGGGCGCGGGCGGGCGCGTAGTGCTGCGTAGTGCCGCGTAGTGCCAGCGTGCGCGCACGTGCGCGCGCGTGCGCGCGCGTGCGCGGCGTGCGCGGCGTGCGCGGGCGTGCGCGCGCGTGCGCGGCATGCGCGGCCAGGGCGCAGGCAAGTGCCTGAGGGTATGGGGGTGGGCGCCACCCTGGGGCTACCCATAGCATCGTCGGTTCAGTGATGGGTATCCTCGGTCACGGGTGGTAAACAGATGCAGGGCCTTCCTTCGCCTCCCACGCCCTCACTGTCGTGCGATGTGAGCTTCTTGTTTCTTACAACATGACATGTACATGTATCATCCTATCTGTGAACGTGTTCTCTTCTCTCGAATAATCACTTCGTCCGGGCTTTTTTCTTTTCCCTCAGGCGCCACTTGGCTCGGTCGGGCACGACACCGAAATACGCGACGTCTGGCCGACGCACTATGGATCGCGGGCGCGTATTTACATGACAAGATAAAGGGTGGCTAAGGGCTCTGCCCGCATCCAAGGCGCCCGCATCGCAGACGCGGTACCATTGACAAATCTGCGATATACCCCCACACGAACAAATAGCAAAATCCGAATACCGTGCAGAAACCATGTGATGTGAGCCGTGGACGGCCGTGCAAGCCTTCAGCTGGTGCCAAGACGTTTTACGGGAGCGCTGCAGCAACCAACGCGGCTTGGGGCTACTGCAACACATATGGAGAGCCTCCTGCGTGACCTCGGGGACGCGCGCGACGCCTGTAACAACCTGCCTTTTGACGATGCGCTGCGCGACAAGATAGCTACCGAACTGGATCGCATCATGGCTGCTCCGCCTCTCGAGCGCATGTTGGTGACGAAGCCGCCGGTCAAGAGGTGGGCGGAATTGGTCAGCCGGCAGAAGGATCCGTCCATCAAGACGCGTCGTCAGGCTGCGCTCACCGCCATGCTGCGCGTCGTCGACCGCCTCCCCGCTCGGGGGCCAAGCCAAGGTGCTGCGTACTCGAGTAGCCTTACTGTAGGAACCTTTCATGCTCCAAGGTGACGCAGCCAGCCCCATCCGCCCCCCTTGCACAGACTCTTCCCGCTTGACTGAAACCAGAGGGGTGAGGAACCACCCCGACCCAGTTAATGGCGCGTCGGGGCCAGCGCCTTCAAATGCGCCCCAACCCTCCACTGCTGCCGGCTTTCCGGGCACACGAGGACACAAGGCGGCAACGTCTGCCCACTGTCCGCGCAGGTGTGCGGCGCTCGTCGAGATTGACGGCAGGGCGTTGGGCTCGGCGGCGATGTTGGAGGGTGCGCGTGCGGGTGAGGCGTCCGCGGGTGAGGCGTCCGGCGGTGAGGGAGGGGGCGGGGGCGGCCGGGCCCCGGTGAGCCCCGGGTGAGGCCCGCCCCCCTCCCGTCCCGGGGCTACTGTGATAGGCACATAAGAAAAGACGGTAACGAACCCAGGTGGGGAAACTCCGCGCACCTAGGTAGGGGAAACAGAAGAGTGGTCCTTGCGCGAGGAGAGCTTCACGTTCGGATCGCTCCTCATCGCAAACCCTGTCAGCAGTTTACCCTCGGGTATGTTCGCAAGAGTTACATCTAAAGATATATGGCTCCCCCGTTGTCCGCCGCTTACCCCGTGACCGGCACAATTCGTGGTACCGAGGAGTCTCGAGCTTCAGCTGGTGAACCATCATGCCGCTCTCGGCACAGCAGAAGCGCGAGCGCCGCGCCGCGCAGCGCGCTGCCGAGGCTCAGGACGCGGCTCGCGGGCAGCGCAAGCCGGACGGCGCCGAGCCGGTGCTAGGCCGCCTCCGCTGCGCCTACTTCCTTGCGCGCCGCTGGACGTCGGCCGAGAAGACCGCTTCCCTCTGGGGACCCGACTCCGCGAAGATCGCGCGCGCGTCGTGAGTGGCGGCGCGCGCGCGATCTCCGTTCCCGGGCACGCCGGTCGCAGTGGCATGGGCTCCCAGGCTCAAAAGCGCCCCGTCAACAGCGAGCGAGCGCCGCCGCTGCTCCTCCTCCCGCCGCCGCTCACCGAGACTCGGTGCCGCCGTTCGCCGCCGCCGCCGCCGCCGCCGCCGCCGCCGCCTCGCGCCTTGCCTCCGTCACCGCCGCCCTCCATCTGGCAGCGGCGCGTCCCTCTGATGGCGCGGGCGCCTCGTTCACCGGGGCCTCGCCGCCCCCCCCCCCCCCTCTCGCGCCGCTCCGCTCGTGGCCGCCGCCTCCCCTGTCAATCCCGCCGCCTCCCCTGTCATCCCGCCGCCCGCACCACCGCCGCCACCGCCTCGCGCCTCGCCGCCGCCGCCACCGACCGCCCTCCCCTGCGCCGCTGAGCGCGGTGCAGGGGGTGAGCCCCCGCTGCGCAGCCTCACCGCAGTGCACTGCGCTCTCCGCGCCCCTGACGATTAGTGAGGAGGTGGTGTTGCACAGCATGGAGCTCGGCGAGCGTTTAGCGAGCCCCGCAGCTAGTTATTACATACATAAAAATCGCTTTCCTCCTTCTCTCTCGATGCCGCTCTACCTCGCGATGTGTGTGCCGCCGCACGTGAGTAATAACGTAGTAGCCAACCAACTCCTCTCCCATCTCCCTCCCCTGTTGCGACGCGGCTCTTGCGACGCGGCGAGCGTCACCAGCCCCTGAGCCGCCGCGCAGGGCCCAGTTCAAGACGGGCAAGAAGGGCGCTTGGTCGGGTGAGACAGCGGCGAAGGAGGTGGAGAAGATGGCGGTGTGGCGGAGAGGGTGGTGGCGGAGAGGGTGGCGGCGGCGACGGGGGTGGCGGCGATGGCGGCGGCGGCGACGGCGCTTGGCGGCGAGGGTGGCGGTGGAGAGGGAGGCGGAGGCGAGGGAGGTGGAGGCGAGGGAGGCGGAGGCGAGGGCGGCGGAGGAGAGGGCGGCGGTGGCGAGGGAGGGGGGGGAGAGGGTGGTGGAGGAGATGGCGGTGGAGGAGAGGGCGGCGGCGGCGAAGGAGGTGGAGGAGATGGCGGTGGCGGAGAGGGCGGCAGCGGCGATGGCGGCGGCGGCGACGGTGGAGGCGGAGAGGGTGGCGGCGGAGAGGGTGGCGGCGGAGAGGGAGGTGGAGGAGAGGGGGGTGGTGGAGAGGGCGGCGGCGGCGACGGCGGCGGCGGCGACGGAGGAGGAGGAGAGGGTGGCGGAGGAGAGGGTGGTGGCGGAGAAGGAGGTGGAGGAGTCCTCGAGGAGCAGAGACCTGAGGCAGTGGCGAGAAAGGCGCGCGATGAGTGGAAGAAGAGTTGCAGGTGTGGATGATTGAGTGAGGTGGGCGCGCCGCCGCCGCCATGCTACGAGTGTTCAAGCACATATGCGCTGGCAAAAATCCAGACGCGGTGACATGAACGCCTCGGCAGGTGGCGGCTGCTCACGCCCGTTTGCTCGCGTTGGGCAGCAGCGGGGGCGAGGCTGACCTCAGAGGCTCGTGGCGAACGTCGTCGAAGGAGGCACCTTTCACACTCTTGACTTTGCGAGGGCGGCCGGCACGGCCGCACCACCCCTTACATTATACCTGGAGAGAGAGTACAAGGTGGAGAGAGAGAAAAGTACGTACAAGGTTGAGCGCCACCACAGTCCACGCAGAGGGAGGGAGTCTTTTAGTAGCAGGTTGGGGTAGCGTTCAGTAGTGTTGATGGCAGTGTGTTCACGTAAACGCACAACCCCGGACCCGAAATCGCACAGAGTCACGCAACACGGGGTCCCAGGGAAGGCGAGCAAAAACCTTATCGCGCGCGCTAGACGCCGACTCGGAGGCCGCACCGGTCAGGCGCGCAGCCGGAGAGAGAGGGAGGCGCTCAATCGCCGCACGCGGCGAGCGCCTCCATCATCTCCGCCTCATACGCACCCTCCACCCCCGCGCCCGCGCCTGTAGCGCCCGTGCGCGCGAGGATGGCCTCGCCGGGTGGTGCGGCCGCAGCAGCTATGGCAGCAACCGCAACAGAGGCAGCAACAGCGGCAGAAGCAGCGGCAGCAGCAGCAGCAGCCGCCGTCGCCGTCGCGCGGTCGCTCAGCATCTTGAACGAATGCCCACGATGAGCAGCGAGGCGAGGAATATCTCCTCGCTGCCGATCGTCGGCCCGATAAACTGCATCTTGAACATCTCCAATAACACGAGCGTAGCGGGAAGAAAGTGGTAGCTCACAGCTCGCTGTAGATGTCAGTGTGTTTCACAAGAGAAGCGAATGCGTACTCTTGTTTAGTAAGGTTCGAAAAACGGGTATGTTCGTAAGAGCCACATGCACTGAAAAAGAACCTTGTTCGGAGTGTGCGCCCGATATTATTAGCGCCGCCGATTAAACGTTCATTCGAGTTGATGAGGTCGCGCCGAATTCGCCTTGGGCTCGCCGCGTGAGGAGCTCGTGAGCTCTGCAGGGCAGCCTGTCCCTCATTGGGCACGCGGCACCGACGGACGCGGCACGGCCGTGGAGCCCGCATCGCCGAGCCACAGACAGTAGGGTCGCGACGTACCTGCATCAGCCGTCGCGCCGACAGGAAGGAGCTCAGGCGTCGCCGAGCAAAGACGCCGTTCCTTTTTCCCGTTCGCGCGGGTTTCCGTGGCGCATCCCAGCATCCTCGCCCGAGCTCTTTGCGCGCCGCGCGACCACTCTCGGTGTCTCGGGCAGCCTGTGATCCGGAGGCCTCCATGCATGCTGGAACTCGCCGCTCGGTCCTCCGTCGCGGATTTGGAGGCCAGAATCGAGGCCGCAGCCCCCCTATAGGGGGGCTGGCCCTCAGGGCCAGCCTTTGAGGGGTGTGTGTGTTGGGGTGTGTGTGTATGTTCGTCATTATGAAGGAGAGCGGGTCAAAAAAGGGCGACTGGGGCTCGGCTCCTTGTTTTGCTAAACAAAGGAAGGTTGATTGTTTACACACACCCCTTTCTCTTTCGAAAACACACACCCCTTCAAGGAGCCGCTGAGGAGAGAATCGTTCAAAAACACACACCCCTTCAAGGAGCCGCTAAGAAGAGTCTCTTTCCAAAACACAGTACACACACCCCTTCAAGGAGCCGCTAAGAAGAGTCTCTTTCCAAAACACAAAGGAGCCGCCAAGGGTGCAGCCTACCGCGCTGGTAGGGGCTATGAGCTAGGGGCTATGAGCTAGGATGTAGGGGGTGGTGGCGCAGAGTGGGATCCCGTCACTCGTGTCGGGCCTTTTCTCGGTCGCTCCTGCTCAGCGTCGGGCTGGCTACATGTTCGCTCGCCGTGGTCACAAGCCATCGAGGAAGCCACCCTACCAGGGCCACAATCGCGTTGCGGATCAGGTTTGTGACCCTGGCGGTGGCGAGCCTTTGGCGCACAGCGTAAGCATGCCAGCACGACTCGCATCAGGGCTGCACCCGTCGCCGAGCACCTCGTGCACTCTACATGGATCGGGTGATGCCACGAGCCCGCTGCGCGGCTGCACCGAGTGGCTCTCTGTGGCAGGGAATGCACTTTTATGCCACATGATGGCGTTGCCTCGCAGCATGCCGAGTGGGCCTTCTGTCTCTGAGGAAGAACCGAAATGCGAATTCGCGCCTTGCCGATCTCCGAGTGGTCAACCGGAGAGGTCTGTGGACACGTGTGCAAGCGAGGCAGCCGCAATCGGCGCGTCTCTGGCATCTGCGTGGTGAGCACCCTGGCGGTATGCGTGCGCAGCAGCCTCAGCGCAGGGCCAGATGACGTGTCCGGTCGGAGGTGGAGCGCTACCAACGGCTCGAGAGGTTCCTCGCGGGTCGAAAATAGCCTTCAGACGCGGTCTCGTCGTTATAAATCGGCCAAACTGGCCCCTCTGACACAAGTTTTGCTTTGGGACGCACCGCAGCACGGCGGAGTCGAGATTCGGCGCGCAAACATCAAAAGTACCACGGTGGGCACGCCTCTTGCTATCCTGAAGCGCGCGTCAAGCCCGCTCGACCGTGAGCTTGCTCAGCGAACAGTTTTTCAACAGACGTTGAGCGACGGGCGTGAACCTCCCACACACTCGCCAACTCCTGACTGAGCAGGCCTAGTACACTGAGAAAAAAAGCGGCGGCGTGAGCTGTGTCACCTGCTCGCCTGTGTCTAGTCGCTCCCAGGGACTAACCCTTGCCCAGCTCCACCCTTGCCCTCATGCGCACCGACAAGCTGCTGTGTGCTCTCTTGCGCGACGACGCGTCGGGCGCCAGCCGGCCCGTCGTGATACTCGAGATCCTCGACGCCGACTTCTTTCAGCTCCGCGCCACGCGCTGCCTCGCCTTTGATCCGCATCGACTCCTTCCCGACCAAGTGCAGGCGGAGCGGTGGCGGAGCGAGTTCACTGCACACGGCCTATGGGAGACATTTGGCGCTGCGGCGAGACAGGCGAATGCCCCGTGCGGGCTGTGTCCGTGTCCCGGCTCTCTCGCAGTTGAGCGCTCGTCCCCGCCTCGTAGATTCACAAGACGGTGTTTGGCACCGACTGCGTCAATCCCGAGGACGACTACAGCACCTACGTCGTGCCTCTCGACGCGGCCGCGGCAGACTTTCCGTGGCGCGACATCGGCCGCCGCAGGAGCAAGGAGACGCGCCGAGGCGAGCAGCACGACGCCGTTTACACGCCGCAACTGGCGCTGACGCCTGTGGCCACCTTTGGCGACGACGAGGGCGAGGAGGCGGGTGAGTACCGCAGCGACGGCGGTTGGATCAGTGTCAGCGCCGGACGGCCGTACGTCCCGCCGCACTTGAGCTTGGAGGAGGCGACCGAGAGGCTTCGCAGACACATGCCCAATGTGCACGCATCCCAAAGCTGCGGCCCCTCTCCCTCCCCGCCCGCCCCGCGCCCCTGCTGCCGCCGCCACGCCCCACGCAGCCACGCCTCACGGTGGGCGCGTCGGGACTAGTCGGATGGCTTCCCGCCCAGTGCGGGGGCCGGCCGCGGGTTTGCGACGCACGCCGTGGAGCGTGGCGGCATCACCGCCCACCGCCCCCTCACCGCCACCCCCTCCCCGTCACCGCCTCCACCCTCCCCTCCCCCGTGACGGACCCTTCTGCGCTCCGCTCCAGGGCCGGTACGTGCCCAAGGTGCGTCCACGAGACCGCTTTCTTCCGGGCGAGAAGATGGAGGGCGAGGAGCTGCGCAAGCGGTACGCG